AGTACACACTGGATACTGGGACCAGCAGTTAGCATAATGGCTATGTCACTGGACTCCCACGTAGTCAACCGTGGTTTGTGTCCTGGACCCAGTGGCTTAAACTCACGCCGGGAACATGTGCGTGTGCGTAGATGCCCAAGATCCCAAGGGGAATAGAGGAGAAGGGATTGCGGCGTGGCCATCCCCCCAGGGGGTGATTTCTCGCTTTCTGTCTGTCTCTGTCTTTCTGGCCAGTGCACGTGCCTTGTAGCAAAAACCTCTTAAAAAAAAAAAGTGTATTCACTGGATACTCTGTGATGGCACTATAACCACTGGAAAACGACAATGTAGAACACATGTTAACCTCTTATTAGTACCTTTCAGTGTTTTAAATAAACCTAAAATTTTAATATTTTTATATATGGAGACTAAGGAATTTTTCCTATTTTATGGTTATATTTGAGATGCAACCATGTATGCATCAGGTTTCTAAGCTGCAGTTTATTCTTGGCTTTACTTTTGTCTGCTTTCTTTCCAATCTAGACTTCAATATTTTCTAGAACATCAAATAGTGTATAAAATGTATCACTATTTCTGGTACATATGTTAAAAACAGAAGAAAATAATTAAGAAACTAAAATTGATAGCAATTAATTTGGATATGTGACAATAACTTTCATATCCATGATTTCAGCTATTTCTAAGAACGTCTATGAGGAAAGCAGGTTATTTTATTGCCATGAATAGGCTTAGAAAAAGTCAACGTTACTTTAAGGCATATTTAATGAGCATCTACTATGTTGTTAGGTCCTCTGCTAGATACTGAGGACACAAAAATGAAATGCAAAAAAAAAAAGAAAAACAAAAACAGAAAGTTATCTAGAAAGATACCTGTAAACACAGTCAGGCTCCAAGCCAATTAAACCAGTAACCACTAAAGGAGGGAAGAAAATAACTTCTATTCAGTTTGACCCTTCACTCTGACTCTGAGTTTAAGATGAGGATGGTCACAGAAGGAAGCTTGGTAAGGGAGGAACAGACCAGGAGAAAATGGCATGTGGGATATTTCCTAAGTTTAGGGTAGGTAAAATGTGTGACAGACAGTAGAACCCTGCCCGTTCCCTTTGGACGAGCAGATGGCATAATGGCTATGTCACTGGACTCCCATGTAGTCAACCGCAGTTTGAGTCCTGGACCCGGTGGCTTAAACTCACGCCCCGCATGTGTGTGTGCGTGCCCAAGATCCTGAGAGGAGAATGGAGGAGAAGGGATTGTGGTGTAGGCCATCCCCCCTTGGGGGTGATTTCTTGCTTTCTGTCTCTCTGTGTCTTTCGGGCGAGCAAATGCGCCCTACAGCAAAAACCTCTCCAAAAAAAAAAAAAAAAGTAAAAAGAACCTTGCCTCTTCCCTTTGCCTGGAAATTAGGGTAGCTATAAAAAGTTAATGGGGGGGTGGGTGGGGGGTTGTGTGGGTGGCAATTGCTGGCACACGATAAAGCCTATAACCTGAAGGATATTACACAGCTCTTAAGAAGAAAACAATTACCACTGAACTAAGCCAAGCAAGGACACCTCTGACATGCCCAAGTTTCAGTGGCATGGCACTGAGGAAAACCAGGCCCTTCCATACTAAACTGATGACTGGGGATAATGATTTCAGTCTAGGCACTAAGGGTGAGTAGACGTATACACACATTGTATAGTAAAGAATAGTCACATTTCTTACAATAACACATTTCATTCTCAAAATGCCAAATCAAATGTGGAGATAACATTTTCACCTACACTTAGAGTTTTCTAATTTTAAATGAGTTTAGCTGTAAATTATGATTTTAACACAATAAAAAATTCCTGACATAGGAACAGCTAAAACTACAGGTATAAATTTACTAAGCACCTACTACGTGCCCGCGCTGTACTAGGTGATAAGACTGTTATTCCTAACACTCTAGCAATGCCACGTTTCCATTTTCTCAGTTTCTTTATCGATCTCTTAACATTGGTAATTTCCATTTTCTCAGTTTCTTTATCGATCTCTTAACATTGGTAATTCTTGGAAATACGGCTCAGGTCATTTGTTCATAAAGTCGGTCCTTGAGACATTTCCTTATACGAAGGGGCAGGGGGCAGGAAGATAAAGCTAAAATCAACTCCAACCGAAGACAATTTTCTTGTGCTGTTATTTACGCGGTCGTTCAGAAATCCCAAAACTTGATAAAGTCTAGGACTTCCAGATCAGCCATCTGTCAGCCTGGAAGACATTTGTCAGCTTTGTTCCTTGCCTTAAGGTGCTATGCTGGACGGCTGCTCACCTAGGGAGTCAAAAGCCTGTTAATACCTTGGCTAGGGCCTGACACCTCCAGCCCAGCCTTGAGCCCGGGCCGGGAGGTGCGGGGAGGTGGGGGCAGGGAGGGCGGAGCGCCGAGGTGACAGCAGGTGAGAGCAGAGCGGCTGAGGAAGTGAGACCGCCGGCGTGGGGCGTGGGCATCACTCAGCCGCCTCACTGCCCGTCGCTCGCGGGCGGAATTTCTCGCGTCTTTCGGCGTTCGCTCGGAGCGAAGCCAGCGGGGAAAACCGCGGCCGCGCGAGGCAGGGGTCGGGTCGGGCCGGCCAGGTAGCCAGCCCCGTGCGGCCGCGTCCTGGACGTCCGAGGCCGAGGTCCCCACTCAGCCCTCACCGTCCCCCGGATCCCGGGGACTCCCCGGGGAGCCCAGAGCACGCCCTCCCCTCGGCCCCGCGTGCGCAGGGCGGCCAAGCGCCGCGTGGGAGCCGAGCCCGACCTCTGCACCA